GGTGCATTCCAGTAGTACTGGAAAGAGTAAATGTTCATGCTCCCATTTGTAAATTYAAACTGGAATGCCCCCTCCAGTGGTAAATCCCATAYGTATGCTGGGAGCAACTGCAACTACCCCCAGTTTTGATTTCAAGATGGCGGCTACTCTAGAAAATTAACTCCGTAACTTTTACTGTTAATTATAATTCCCAGTGTGTTTGCGCATCACTCGTACAAGTAGTGTGTTTTCTGTGCATWCTGTACGTATTAAAATCAATGTTTATTTGCATGATGCATGTAGTAGAGCTCTCTTTTTGTCATTGTTTACATTGTAGCAGTGCTGTAGCTAGGTTAGTGGCATCAGTGTCATCACCTGTMAGCTAACTGGAATGCAGTTGTTGGGAAATTACGTTACCACCACTTACCAGTTCTGGAATACGATGTAAATGAAACATATGTTTATAGACAACACATTAATATGTGAACGTGTAACTGCTTTATGATTAGTTCACATATTACTTCATCTACTTTATCAGCTAAATATTTGTACTTTCTAACAAAASAACTGTAAAAATTAAGTTCAGGTTTTTTAATATCATTTGTTTAGCTATTTACAATCAGTCTCTCATTTCCACAAACACTGGACATCTGAATCATTGCTTGGAAGGTACATGCAAAAAAAAAAAAAATCTGAACATTAAAAAAAGAATATGATGTTACATGGCTCAAACTTGTGCAGCTTAGCGCTCTGGGCTGATCCTCGCCACCTGCTGTAAAAAGAGAGAGAGAAAAAACTTCATCTCACTTCTGTTTGATGCTTTGATAGTACTTTCAGTTGAGGGGGAGGATGAGAAGGGAAAAAAAACAACCTTAACATGACAGCCTTCTAAACTGAGACGCTGCCCTGTGTTACAGAGGATCTCTCCCATTGCAGAAGTGAGGAGGCCAATCAAATGGCTGTTCCTGCCCGGGAACATTATGTCAGTGCCAGACAGTGTGTTGTTTGGACACGGCGCACTGGGGGTTGGTGCTGGGATTTGGGAACACACAAAAGGTCTCTTGAATCATCACGCTGCTCGAGCTACAGAGAGAATTATGCCTGATTTTGCCTTTGAATTTGATATGTTTTAAGATACTTTTTTTGTTTTGTTTTTGTTTTTTACAGCAGCAAAAAACTTTCCAAACTTTCAACTATATAATCTGATCTCCTCGTTGAGCTTTCCGGTACTTGACACCCAAAAACACTTGCTTTTTTTTTTACACCTCTCTGGGTAACGGCCCTTGTGAAAGAGGAACTATACCCTTTTCGTTACAAGAGATTGCTGGAGTGCCACATGACACACAAGAACACCATGTTTCTCTCTCTCTCTCTTTTTTTCATGCTGAAAGAATATGTAAAATAATACAGCCAGATGGCCCTCTGAATGCCACATTGCTGTGCTCACGCTCAACACCGGGAACTTTAGTAGTGTGGGCTTTTGTGCACAATGCTGAAACTGTGCATTCATCCTCACACACAGCTTCAGCTGCTGCAGGAAAGCAGGTCATATCCTTTATTAGTGAAGCACACGTTTATTACTCTCACGGATGTCTTTATTTTTATTCTCACTCTTCAGTTGGCTGAATAAGAGTTGAAACGAATAACATGATCAGTTAAAAGCAGAATGTTTGTTTCAAATCCAGTCGATATTAAAGCTAACACAAACATTTGAGTCAGTCGACTTCTTTTCTCCCGTGATTTTGCACTGAATGGCGAGCCAATTTCCAGTCTGTTCCCAAAAATATATTTTTTATACTTAATTGCGGGAATGTGGAAATCAACCGGATCAAAAAATACTAACACCACGGTATAAATGATTGCCTTAGCAATTTTAAAAACCATAACACCGCTTTGTAATTGCGTTCCATAATGGTGTCACTTGTCTCTTGTTGGAGGATAAACCAACACACTGTCTGTGGTAGCTGGCTGGGTTTCATTTGGCTGAGCCCAAAGAGTTGCTCAGAGGAGTGGTTAGAGGCTGGTTTGCTGAATGGTAGCCACCATCTTCAAAAAAAAAAAGTACAAGCTGTTCATTTAGAAGAATATTATTCATTAAAAAAATTATAAAGCAATCAAAGTCCTGCAAGTTATTTTGAGCCAGTCAGATTTAAATAAGTAAAATAGGTCAACTTTAAGGACTCATTCATGTATTTTGAATATTGTAGTGAATGAATAAAAGGGTTGTTTACATCCACGTGTTTATCGCCTGTCTTCATGAATGATAGGCSATCATGTGTTTTGTCTRTTTGTTAGCAAAATATTTCCTSAACMACTTGGYGGATTTTACAGTAACTCAGAAACCAATTGTAGGATGGACGTCTTCAGMTTGACGATTCAAGATAGCCRCYGCAGCTAATTAACCTTTGTYAACTCAAAAATGTATTTACCTTTATTGTGATGACAGATCTACAGTGGAGGCCATGGGCTTGAAGGGAGGAAACCAGAGAGCCTGGAGAAAACCCACATGAGCACGAGGAGAACATGCAAAGACCCTGGGTCCAAACAGGGGATCAAACCCAGGACCTTCTTGCTGTGAAGMACCAGTGCTAGCCACTGATCCATCGTGCTGCCACAATAAAACAATTTTTAAAAAAAGCTGAAACTATTTTACAGATATTGAGCTAAAAATYGGCATGACRYGAACKGAGGGTCGTCYCCAYCTCAAACTCCAACAAATCACACAAGTTGCTTGTTCAGAATTTATGTTTCTGAAATGAAATGAAATCAATTTGAGATGCTGTGTTCAGAAATGATCTTCTGTCTGTAAATTATCGGCACAGGAAGCCAATGACTTGGCAGCGACAAACATTTGAGCTCTCTGCTGGAGCACCATTCTGTTGGCCAGAGGCCTCAGAGTGTGCAGATTGTTCCAACAAGGTAACATCACATGTTTAACAACTCAAGGACATCTTGTCTTTGCTCCGCTTTACAGACAAGACAACCTACTTCTATCAGCGTGGTTCTTCTGGTAGTATATACTGTGTGTACATGAATTTTCCCTCGATTTCTTTTATTTTATTTTGAAGAGAAACTTGCTTTTTGCTTTCCTTTATATAAAAAACAACAACAAGTTTAATAAACCAAATATAATCCACAGTGATATCCAATAAGCAATTTTTTTGCAAGCATTTCCTATTATTGGTATCATTTCCAGCTAACTACAGATACGTTTTTGGAACTTGTAGGCCCTGTTTACATGGTGCCATTTTTCAATGACATCAGAATAATTCTACTTGGCCGTTCAAACACAGCAGCGATCAGACTATTTGMCAGCAAACCTTTGAAAGTCCAGGTCTTGGAGTGGAGGCTTTGCAAACCCCCCTGGCATCAATTTATTAGAMAACAGAATTTCGGAATCTGAAGTGTTTTCAGTCAGTAGCTATTCTGCCTTATTCTTGAGCTCTGACTGCAGGACTTTGTGGGATTTTACTTAAATTTTATTTATACTGTGTTATTAAAAGAAAGACGGGTGAAACAAAGGAGCCAGGGAGCCTCAGAGGAGTTCAAACCTGTAAAGTGAATTAACTTAGAGCAGACAAGTGATTCCCCCATCTCTTTTAAACAAACCTGATGAGATTTTCTGTCTTGCCTGCGGTGAAAGTACCCATCCAGCCGCAGAGTTTAGGAGTTACGAATTACTTCACTCACATTTTACAAATAGACTACGCTAACACAGGCATTGCAGAAAGGTATGTCAAGGTAAACCTGTCAGTCTGCTTTACATTGATTTCAGTTTAGCAGAGCTACATAAACAGTTACGAAGAAGACGGATTTATTTCACAATCAGCATGAATGAAACACCACTGGCAAGGAATAACCAACGACTACTTGTGTGGGCAAACAATGGATACATACAAACAGGCACAAGTTTGCAAACAAACTAATTCAAGAACAAAAAACAAAAAGTGTCTTTCACCCTTTTCAGATGGATTCAGATTTAATAGGAGTTTGACCCCGCAGTGACTTCTCTCAACACAGGCTAATAATTAGCTCATCGTTAAACTTTTTAAAATCCAAACTTACCCCCTTTAAAGAGCTATTTGCAACAGGTAAGATACTAAATGTTTGTAATGGTTTGCAAYACAACACACACCCTTTTTCATGTCAGTTTTATGATTATCTTACAATGAGAAGGGACAAAATTACAGCTCTTTTGGTCAAMCTTTGTGAATGAAATATGCAATCTCATGCAAAAAAAGAGAGATTTGTTAGGTCTGAATTGGTTACTGAGGATGACTCTCAGCTACTAACACACCCAATTTTAGCTCTAGCTGTTTACATGTTGACATATGTTGATTGTTTGTCCCCTTGAATTGGATCGATTCCAAAAGTTAATCAGTCATAAATATACATTTATTTATTACTTTCTGAGACTTACATTAAAATCTGTCCAGTGGTTTAAGAAAAAGTTTGATAACTGATCAAGAAAGATGATGCGAACAGTCAATGACTAAGTTTTAAGCAAACAAATGACACAGTGTGTTGGGCTTGGAGCATATATTGGAGACCACTCTCAGTGATCAACATGCAAAGTTTTAGCTCAATATTTGAGTAAAATTGGTTGAATCTTACCTATTGTTGTAATTTCTAACTTTATATCTGTGGCTGACGTTTAGTTGGATTTACTCAGAAATGTAAACATTAGTAAATATACACCCATTGATTATTTTTTGACAGTTTAAATAAAATCCAGCCAATGGTTGATGAGATATTCTGCTAACAGAGAGACACATTTGACTCCACAAGTTATTGGTGAAGTTTTGAAAACAGATCTTGTGCGATCAGTTAGCACTTCAAGTATGTGTTGGGGATCACATTCAGCTACTTCCACAACAAATTTAGGCTCAATATCTGTAAAACTGGAGGAGTTGCAACCATTTTTTGTGTTTGCTAAGGTCAGCTACGTGTGGAGGTCACCTTGAACTGAGCAGACTCCAAAAGTTAATCAGTTGCAGAAGCAACGCCAAGGAATATTTCTGGAGAGCTTCGAGAAGATCGGTCAAGTGGTTCATGAAACATTTTGCTAACAGAAGGCCTGAGAAAGACGGGAAAGAAAGGCTTCCTCTGAAAGCATGGAGACAAGGGCTGCAGAAACTTTCGAGTAAAAACTCGCGCCGCGCGCTCGGGGACAGGATGTACCCAATAAGCGCGCGGCTGCTCCGCCGGCCGACACGCCCCCAGCATGGATACACCGAGCAGGAACAGGCGCTCCGGAGACGCACGCGCTGTGCTGGAGACCGTCTGAAGCCGCGATGGGACTGAACGCATCCAAGTTTCAAGAGTTCCTGCTGTCGGCGTCGTTGCACTAAAAACAGCGGCTCTTCATTTTTTTTTTTTTTTTTAGGTTTTCTCTCTCTTTTGGAGAGCTCTTCTCTGCGTCTTTTTTTTTTCTTTTTTGTATTTTTTTTTATTTTTTATTTTGGGGTCGGAGGCGTTTCTCGCACAGGATGTTGATGATAAACTGGAAAGCCGGGTACGACCATAAAGTCAGTTCTCTCCGATGAGAACGACCTCTTCCTCTCCACACCTCCACACAAAGGGAAACTACGGTACAACAAGTACTTTTTGTCCACGCGCGCACACGCACGACCCTCACGCGCCGGGTTTTATTTTTTTATGTCATTCAGAAGCAGCGGGGGCTGCTTGAAAGACAAAATGGATCACTTTGCAGCGGAGTGCCTTGTCTCTATGTCCAGTCGCGCGGTGGTTCACGCGCCTAAGGGCAACCGGGAGCTGAAGCCGGAGATCCCGTCCTCCTCCACCCCCTCCTCCTCCTCCAGGAGCGCGGAGGACATCAAGGAGGTGAAGGACAACTCGTCGCTTTTCGTGGTGGCGCGGATTCTGGCGGATTTTAACCAGCAGACCCCCACCGAGCAGCAGCAGCAGCAGCAGCAGCAGCAGCAGCAGCAGCAGCTGCCTGCCAAGACGGTCCTGAAGGATGAGAGCGCGCCGAGCCTCCGGGAGGATGGACTCGCCACACCTACCGCCGCCTGCGATCCTGCGCTCAGACAAAGAGGCAAAAGACCGAGAGGTCGAACTGAGCACGAGTCGCCTCAGAAAAAGCACAAATGCCACTACTCTGGCTGTGACAAAGTTTATGGCAAATCGTCCCACCTCAAAGCCCACCTAAGGACGCACACAGGTCAGTTTTTGGTTTGGATGAAAAAGAGAGGGGGAAAAGTGTTTTTTTCTTTTCTTTTTGTTTGTTTGGTGTGACATGATTGGATTTCATATCTGAGGGGGGATACATACAGCAAGTCAGAAAACTATTGTGTGATTATAAAAGCCGAGGGTTATGGGTCATCCCCTATAATAAAGATGAGTTTTGTTAATAAGAGATTGAGAACTTGGAGTTGCATAAAACTTTTAAATCCTTTTTTTAATTTCTGGGAAGAGAAAAAAAAAAGTGCCACCCCCCCCCTGGCCTTTGTCTTTTTCCCCCCCCCCCCCCCTCTCTAAATTGAACACACTCCACCGCATTGGACAGTGTGTTCAAAGCGAAACTGCAGAACACAGTTCACACGAAAAGCCACCATCAAGCTCCTCCTGATCAAACTTTCCTTCGCTTCTTGGCAGCACGAGTTAAAAAGAAAAGAAAAGAAAAAATAATAATCTTATCTTTAACATGTGAGAAAATAGAAAAGTGTGCATGCAGGAAGTTTTGCAGGATCAGTCCTGAAAGTCTTCCAGATCCCATCAGCTGTGTATGGTGTGACCTTCCAGATCCTCCCAAATTTTATTATTATTATTATTTTTTGAGCTTTGCATTCTGCATGGGGAAGAAGGAAAAAGAAAAAAAAAGAAAAGAAAAAGGAGGGAGGAGATACAGATCCACTCAAATTGTGGGGTTGATAAGAGCTGTGCAGTCACAGCTCTTTGTTATGATGTGCCACACCCCCCCCAGCTAGACAGACTGCCAGCTGATCTGGCCAGCAACAGACTCAGCTAGCAGAGCCTCGACTGAGGAGGCTCTGCCTCTCCTCTCTCTCTCTGGTCTGCACACACTGCAGCTCACGCCTCATCCCTCCACCCCTCACTGTACACTGATCCTGACACGAAAACAAAAAAAGAACGAAAGAAAGAAGCACACCAGCTCCCGCCACCGCAGGGATGAAACACCTTGTGAGGGTGACCCACATTTGAGTCATGACAGAAACACTGTGTTTGCAAAAGAAAAGAGTCCCCCCACAAAAAAAAATAATAATCTGCAGGACTTTACCTTTAAACCACTGTCACAGCTCATCCCTGGCATTTTCATCTTAACAGGTATTATTATCCCTGCACCTCGTTAGTTGAGTTCCACCCCTCCTCCCTGTTCTCCCGACATTAATTAGCATTTAGAGACAAAAGAAAGGCAAACACAGCCAGCAAACTGAACGATGGAGGGTTTTCCTCTGAGAGTCGTTTGATATCGATTGCAGTCAAGTTATGTTTTTGTTGTGCCACACAGTGACAGAGGACAAGGGGAGAGACACAAAGATAAACCTTAAATCTGTAAGAATGAGTGAAATATTGCTGAATATTTAGGTAAAACATTATGATGACTGTGTTGTTTTTAAGCTCATAGGCTTGTGTTTTTATAATTAATTCTTTTTTTTGTAAGGATGTTGATTTATTTAGTAAGTTCCTGAAGATCCCAGGTAGATTGCTTGGTCTCAGGCAGTACCCCCTTCCCTCCCTCCACATTCAGCCAAGACCGTGTGAGTTTTGTGTGTTTTTTTTTTCTTATTTTATTTTATTGCTCCACGCCGGCCCTGCCCTTGTCACTATGCCCGTGAAGTGTTTCCATTTCTCCCCCTCCTCTGCCTTCTTTCTGTTTGGATGTGCTTGGTCGTCTGGATTGGGCCGCGTCCCATAAATTCTGATGATGACGGGGCAGGCCCAGAATGTGGGTCAGCTGAGTTCAGCTGGGGCTGCCTCAGCCAATCTTGCAGTGTTTTCATGGAGTCAGACTCTGGCAGTGCGTGCTTCCCGCTGAACCCACCCCTCCCGCCCGCCTCACTTCGCCTCAGCCCCGACTAGCAGAGTCAAGAGAGAACGGATCCCAGCCCAGTCCCAGGTCCAGCCAAACACCGCTCTCTAATTGAAGGGGGGAAACAGTATAGACAACAAACAAAGAGCCGGGAACAGGATGTTCTTTCTTGATTTCTGTGACACACTTTTTCTTTGTTTTTTTAAGACCTAAATGGAGGAAAACCTTAAATAAGATTTAATATATAGTAATATATATGTTTAAAGTGAAAATGTCAATTATAAATGAGAGTCTGGGAATTCTATACTTTTACAAGTGGAAAAAAAAAGGTTTTTGGTTGAGGGTCCCCCGGTGGAGACATTGAATATACCTTCTCAAAGAGTTCAATGGGGGCATCAGGGGTGTTGCAGACAGGGGTACACACTGCATTTAAATCACTCATTATACTGCAGTGAGTTTGTTGAGGATGAATCCTCAGCAGTTTAGAGGTCTAAGGTTAGCAGACAGCTTTTGTCTGGTGTCCTGGAGTTGGAGGTGGAGCTTTTTTTTTATTTGGCTTCATCTGAGGAAAAATGGAGGAATGCTAATGTGTTATTACAGTTTATGGCACAGTAGATAACTGCATGGTTATTTTTAGCTATGTTTTAGTCATTCTGTTGACTTTTTGTTTTCATGAATTACACCCACTTTCCAAGGAGGAGTTTTGAGTTTACAGGGGTGCGTTAAAATGCAGCCTCGTTACTTTGCTGCTCTGACTGTGCCCCCCCACAGCTTGGTCTTACGAAAGCTCATCTTGTTAGCATACAATACCTACTTGAGCTCTGTTGCTTACACAGGGAGGGGTAGGGTAATTTTTCTCAACAACAAAGTGTCCAAAGACATGTTTTACAATTGGGTTCATGTTTTGTTTGAAACCCCTTTGTGTTCTGTCACGGTACCTTTAATGGATGGATGTACAAACCTTTACTGTCCTACAAATTTAGGGCCGCCATGTCCATGAAAACCCAGTTGTTMACGTGTGCTACCTATTTTTGGACAAATAACTGTGGTTAATGACATTTTTTTAATGCGAAATTATCCTCAACTCCACATGGAAAATGCAGCAGGAGTCTCTCATTATACATGCTTCGTCCCTGCCAGTGGTTTTATATTTGGCTGCACCGAAACACAGAGTGCTCAGTGTTCCTGTGTGGCTGATGGGAATGATGAGGTAGCAGGGTGGGGATGGGGTTTTCCTAACCTTGGCTTAGCCATGGGTAGAGAAGCACATTGAGGTAGAAGAGTTCAGCTTGTCCACCTGCCATCAGGCTCTGGATTTCCACCGTTGCTTCTCAKTAGTCCACGATTTGGAGTGAAACAGCTGGCTTTGTGTATTTAAATAGATTCAGAAATGTAGCACGCTTGGCTGTCTTTTACAATGCTGTTACTAATTAGCATTTGAACATGCTATGAGAATGAACACATTGCCCTATTAGCATATTAAAATGATCACGGCCAGCATCGGTTTAATACAAAATACTATTTCACAGCCAAAGAGTGGTTATATAAAATTTGCATTGAAGCATGTTGAACTGTAAGGCCTACATTTTACTTCGTGAGCTTTTTTTAACATGATAAATAACTTTTATTTCAACGCAAACTAGAGAATTTGCCTTTCCTGGGAAAATGCAGTGTGATAATGCCGAAAGATCTTTGCTCAATATCTAAAAATGCAAAAAATAGATTTAAAAAGTAGTTGAAATAGGTGAAGAAACAGAAAGTGCACGTTTTCTGAATTAATCAGTAAGAAGCTGGTGTCGTGGACACGTTTAWTAAAAATGCAGAAACACGTTGAAATAAATGCACAGAAAAAGTCTGCGTGTATGGTCGTGAATTATTTAATTCTGGGCAACAATAAACAGAAAACAAATCATGAAAGTCTGTTGAATGTGGCCCAGAATTAAATAATTAAAAAACAATAATAATAGTTTATTGGCGTTGTCGGCAGGATTTGGGAYGACCGCCTCTCTGGCGACAACCCTGGCATTATCACAAAAAGCTGAAATTAGCTGAAAACAGCTGAAATTAGTTAAAAAGTAACTAAAACCACAGAAAACAGTTGAAATGGTCAGAAAGCAGGTGCAAGAAGCAGAAAAACCTAAAAGTTAAAATTAGCAGAATGTCAGAATAATAGATAAAAAAGCAGAAAAAAGCTAAAATCAACTAAATAGAATCCAAAGAAAGCTTAAAGTAGTCATAGCCAAGGGTTTTTATATTTATGCAATTTTGTTGTGTGAGGAATAGGCTACTCTTTTACCATTATTTGTATTAGCAGGTTAGCTAATATCAGTTGAATCTAAAATGCTGTTTTGTAGCTTAAAAGTCATGTTATACATGCACAGATGTATGTAATCATGCTTTCCCCCACTTGTAAAATAAGAACATAGGTCATCTGGTTGGTTCATTCCATGCAGAGCAGTACAGAGTGTGTTCAAGAGACACATGGTATTAGTTCAATCTACTTGATCCCTGTGATGAAAATAAAGCCAGAGAGGAGTCACCATCTTGCCCAGTAATCCTCTGGTGCAGTGTTTCTATCCTGTGGAAGACATCCTCAAGACGTGTGCAGGCGCACATGTAGCCCATATGTTATCCTGCATGTGCCGACAGAAGGGCAGGTTCTCGTTAGTGTTGGGAATATAATCCCAATCTGACTGTAATTTAGCACTCAGGCATGCAGAGCAGACAATCATAACTCTGAATGGCCTCTGTCAGACAGTGCCCAGGCTGGGCTGTTTTTCAATGGCCCACGGGGCTCATGTATTCTTTAGTTAGCTCTATAAAAGCTGCTCTGTCTACTTCCTCCCCGGCCCCTCCCACCCCCCCTTTCCTGCCTGCGAAGCAAAGTAGGTGCTGAAGCRTGTTGTGCAGCAAGACCAAGCTCTGGCCACATCTTGGGTGTGGTGTTGATTACAAGTGACGGGAARAGCTGGATACAGACCTGTGGAGCACTTTGCATTTTCTTTCTTTCCCTTTTTCACCTCCACTGTTCAAAACCTGCCCGCTTCATCTCCCATGTGCTCAGCAACACAAAGACATAATGTACAGTAGGGTGAGACAGGATGGGGGTGGGGTTAGATACCAGGATATTCACCGTCARTGCCATCCACTGATGTAGGTCATTCATTCAG